GATCAACTGGTTAACGCTGTTTAAGGAAATAATCGCTGTTTTTACTGACAATCAAATCCAACTTTGCTCTGTCTTCGTCTTGGTCTGGCGAAATATACTCTTCCGGGCTGCAAAGCTGAAATTCCAGAGTCACATACCGAATGGTAAATGTCTCTGTATGGGCCTTTATGGCGTTACTACCCGGAAGATCAACATCGAAGCCTTCGCCGCCCTGAGGACCTCAGATCTCAAACGGAAATTGTGTTTCATGCCGTCAGGAGTTCGTGGCCACCGAATGCACCTCCCAGACAGCGACAAAAGTTGTGATAATTGTGCGTCATCAGATGTTACGTCTAACAGGAGTGCTGTAGACCTCGAGACCTCGAGACCTTTATCGTTTTCTACATCGCGCGATCTGTTATTCATGGTCGCAGGAAACCTCGACAACCCTTTCTTGAATCTTTTTATCCATTGTGTATTTTTGTGGCCCATCCTATTCTATCTTCAATACGTCTTCTTTTTGTTCCTTGTATCAACCTTCTGCACGTGGTTCGTATCAGCCGTTTTAAAAATATCGTTCTACGGTGTAACGGTTTCTATTAATTTGAAATTCCTTACTGTGTGGTTACAAAACACTTACGTTTAGTCAACTGTGGTCCACTGAACCCTATATTTTTCTACATATCCTTGAGATTAATGGAGGATGGGCTGGGCTGGTCATGTAGCATGGGTTGAACCTTAGAAAGGGACATGAAAGTTTTTTCTGCCCTTAAAGTTGAAGGGAGATCTAGACATAGAAGATAGAATGATGCTAAAGTGAATATTGAATAGATGGTTTGCGATTATACGCACTCAATTCGTGTCGCTCAGAATAGGGACCGGTGTAGAAATTTTGTGAACACGGTAATGAACATTGTAATACCGTGAAATACTAATATTTTGTGGAGTCGCAGTTTTGGAGTCAGTGTGAAATTCCATTTTGTATTCTGTTGCATTTTGAATGAGAGGAAATCAGATGGAAGATTCCGAACTGAGTGCATTCCCTGAATTTAAATACTTTTAAAATTTTAAGGAATAATTTTATTAAAACTGTCTTCCCCAGATATCTGTGATTTGTCGCATTTTCGAAACATTTGTCGTCTCTTTGCGTGATGGTTTCTTCTGACGACCAATTTTAAGAGTATTTAAGGTAGACGCATTCTCGTAACCTCTGAGGATAATTCTCGTTCCCAGGGTAACAGCCCGCAACGGTAGCTCTGATCGGGCACCCCGTATCGTCTTACAGGATCTTGAAGTACACGTACACTGAGTAGCAAGTTATTTTTACCGTTCATCTCACGTGGGTGAGTGGGTTAAATTGAAAGTATCCTCAACCGTCAAGCCAGTGTTGCCATAATGAGACAGTGTGGGGCAATTACCCTCAGTTGTACGCCTCTCCGCATTCGGTGTGTAATGGCAGGTTGCATCTGCACAGGGTTCAAAAACGACACAAAGCATGGGTACTTAAATGGGATTTTAAGTTCTGTTAAGTTGCCTTAATTATATTGATGGAGTGGCCTAAGATATGAACGAAAGATGAATTAAACATATAATTTAAGTAAGAATGTAAACATTTTTCGCTTTAAACGTTCTGTGCTACACACGAGTAATGTCGGTTAAAAAAAAACTTCTGTTAGATATAGTTATTGAGAATTTTCCTTCACAGCGAATATAATAGCCTTGTGGTTTATGACTTGTCTGCCAGATTTTGTTTATGAAAATGGGATAAAACATGAGACATTGGTTTTGGAATTATGTTAAGGGTAACTAAAAGGCTGTTCACTTTTAATATTATTCTGCTGGTATTTTCGAGTAGTAAGTAAATAAGATCTGTAGAACCATGTCCTTCTTGGGAATGCTTATCTAGTGAAGAAACTTCCAGGATTTTATTGAACCCGTAACCACAACTCGCATATGGATCCACTCCACACGAATCCCACATCCATCTCAATATTAGCCTAGGATCATGGCGGATGGCCGAGTCTCACCTCACGTCTTCCAGCATCCGTCATGTTGGTATTACTGAGTGTGAGAAACGAAGAAGTACCATTTTGGTCTGGCCTCTAATGGAATAATCTGCACGCCAAGTTTCATGAAAATCGGATCAGCAGAATGTGTATTTTGTAAGACCACTGATAGATGGCAGGACGATCTCGGCTAAAAAGACTCGCAGAATAAAGTCTGTAAATGTTTTTTTTTTTAATTTATCCTCGAAATTTTACCAGAATTATGCGCTGATTCAAGTGGATTTGAATTTGTAGATTTGTTTGTAAATTCTGTTGCATCCAACTTAAGACGCTTTTGACCTAATCGCTGGTATGCGAACCGACTCTACGTAAGGTGAAAGGCTTTTGAATTGTGAAGATACAGTGGAGCATGTTGCTTGTGAACCCCCCCTCCCCCAACCACCACCACCCATCTCGATCATTCTTTTATTATTCGGGTTTCCTTTTGTCACCAGTTCT